AACAAGGAAACTTTAAGAAGGGTAGGGTGTGTGTAGACCAAGTGTCTACAGTGAAGCATAAAAGTGAAGAGTATTTAGATAATGGTAAAGAGGTTTTTGTTTCATTAATGGATTTGGAAAAGGCATATGATAGGGTGGATAGGGGACCCAATGTGGCAGATGTTGCAAAGGTATGGAATAGGAATTAGGTTACTGAAAGCAGTTAAGAGTTTTTAGGAGGATAGTGAGGTTCATGTTAAAGTATGTAGGAGAGAGAGAGAAATTACTTCCTAGTAAAAGTAGGCCTTAGACTGGGATGTGTGATATCACAATGGTTGTTCAATATATTTATAGATGCGGATGTAAGAAAAGTGAATGCTCGGGTGCTGACAAGAGGTATGTGATTAAAAGAAACAATCTAACACAGAGTGGGAGTTGTCAGTTGCTTTTTGCTGATGACACTGTGCTTTTGGGAGATTCTGAAGAGAAGTTGCAGAGGTTGGTAGATGAGTTTGGTAGGGTATATAAAAAAAAAAGAAAATTAAAAGTGAACATAGGAAAGAGTAAGGTGATGAGAATAACAAAAAAATTAGGTAATGAAAGACTGGATATCAGATTGGAGGGTGGGAGTATGGAGGAAGTGAATGTACTCAGATATCTGGGAGTGGACTTGTCACTTGATGGGTCTATGAAAAACAAGGTGAAATAGAACTGGCGATTGGAAAAAAAGGGCCCCAGTGGTGACACTGAGGAGTCTGTGGGAAAAAAGACATTTTCCATGGAAGCAAAGAGGGGAAGTATAGAGTATTTTTTCACCAACGCTCTTTTAGGGGGTAAAGCATGGGTGGTGAATATTGCAACAAGGAGAAGGCTGGAAGCAGTGATGTCTTGTCTGAGGGTGATGTGCAGTGTGAATATAATGCTGAGAATGCATAGTTTGGAAATTAGGTGGTGTGGATCTACTAAAAGTATTATCCAGAGTGCTGATGAAGGGTTGTTGAGGTGGTTTGGACATTGAGATGATGATGGAACCAGACAATGATTGAGAGGATATAAATCTGTAGTGGAAGAGGTGGGGGGAGAGGTCAGCCTAAGAAAGGTTGGAGGGAGGGGGTAAAGGACCTTCAGCAAGTGTGCATGAGCACGTTAGACAGGAGCAAGTGTAGACAAAATGGTTTTTACGACTTGATGTGCTGTTGGAGTGTGAGCAAAGTAACATTTATGAAGGGATTTATGGAAATCTGCAAGCCTGACTTCAATCCTGAGGGGTGGAAGTACAGTGCCTGTGCTGGGAAGGAGGGGTGTTCATATGTTGCAGGTTTTTTTTAACTGTAATGTAGGCACGGCTTTGACAAGACAGTGATGGAATGAATGATAATGATGATGAAAGCATTTCTTCTTTTTCAGGTCACCTTGCCTTGGCAAGAAAGCCAAAGTGTTAAAAAAAAAAAAAAATGCAGCAATTTATTACAAGGAAAAATCTTGCCTTTGCATGTATGCATACAAAGAAATTAGAAGTACTGTACTTGATTTAACAAGACGAGAGCAAATAATATAATTGTAGAGATTCTATATATTTTATTAAAAAATTAAATTATAACTGAAATGTCTTACCTTTTTCTTTGTCAGTGGATGTGAATAAATTAATGGGTGAATAGGCCCTGACCTACGATCACTGATCATATACAGTCGCTCCCATCGTATGCGTTGTTCTCTAGGTAACTCTTCAATTATCTCTGTCAGTGGGCAGAATACTGTAGCACCATTAGTTGGTACACTAACCTGAAGTATAAATGTGAAAGAAGCAGAGTGAACCTTTTTATTAAAAAACTTTTCATATTAAGAATCTTTATAAGACTATAGACCCATAGGTATATCTAAATTGTGTGTACAAATAATAAATCTGATTTATCTCGCAAACATTTCCTATGTTCATCAATGTTAAGGAAATTAATTTGAAGACTCATTGTGATGAACATGTCTATGGTGCCTGATCTGCAGGTTAATATTTTGTGAAGGGTTTCAGGGAAACTGGTAAGCCAAACTTGAGTCATGGAGTGGGAAGTACAATGCCTGCACTTTAAAGGAGGGGGTTTGAGATACTGGCTGTTTGGAATGATATCTAAACTGTCATATCTGAGTGCCTCTGCAAAGACTGATTTTGTATGAATGATAGCAAAAGTTCTAGGTAGTAGGTTGGTAGACAGCAACTGCCCAGGGAGGTACTACCGTCCTGCCAAGTGAGTGTAAAACAAAAGCCTGTAATTATTTTACATGGTAGGATTGCTGGTGTCCATTTTTCTGTCTCATAAACATGCAAGGTTACAGGTACGTCTTGCTACTTCTACGTACACTTAGGTCACACTACACATACATGTACAAGCATATATATATATATATATACACACACCCCTCTGGGTTTTCTTCTATTTTCTTACTAGTTGTTATTCTTATTTATTTCCTCTTACCTCCATGGAAAAGTGGAACAGAATTCTTCCTCCGTAAGCCATGCGTGTTGTAAGAGGCGACTAAAATGCCAGGAGCAAAGGGCTAGTAACCCCTTCTCCTGTATGTATTACTAAATGTAAAAGGAGAAACTTCCGTTTTTCCTTTTGGGCCACCCCACCTCGGTGGGATAAGGCCGGTGTGTTGAAAGAAAAGAAGAAAGATAGCAAAAGTGTTGAATGATGGTGAAAGAATTTCTTTTCTGGGTCACCTGCCTTGGTGGGAGATGGCTGAAGTGTTAATCCTTAAACTGTCCAAATGTAGATATACATTTACTTGTGTAGCGCTCTGAACATAGATCAACTTTTTATTTTTCATTCCTTCAAATTTGACACAATAGGCTTGAGTCACCTAGACATGAAAGAATGGATCTGTGCACTCTGTGCGCAGTATTAAAAAAATCTGGGAGCACTTAGTACCTTGTGGGAGCACCAGTTCAATTGAGTGCCACCTAGAGCAAATAGTGTGGCAAACACCAGGGATTCACTGGTGCCATGTTGCATTAACACTCCCATTTTAAGAGGAAAGTAAAAATAGGTTAGATAAATATACGAGCGAGTGTGGGTAGGGGCAAGTTGGACCTGACTAGCGTGTGCTACTAGGTCTGATGTCAATCTCCTTCCTTCAATGGATGTGACCTGACTAGGTGGGTCATTGGTCTAAGCTAGAGGGGGGGAGGACATGGACCTGCCTTGTATAGGCCAGTAGGCCTGCTGCGGTGTTCCTTCTTTCTTATGTTCTTATGTATTCGGCAGACTGGCTGGCTTGCTTTGGCTGTCTATCTATATCCCTGTTTCACACATACACATAAGCATAGTTTTATTTTTTTATTATTTATTATCACACCGGCCGATTCCCACCAAGGCAGGGTGGCCCGAAAAAGAAAAACTTTCATCATCATTCACTCCATCACTGTCTTGCCAGAAGGGTGCTTTACACTACAGTTTTTAAACTGCAACATTAACACCCCTCCTTCAGAGTGCAGGCACTGTACTTCCCATCTCCAGGAACTCAAGTCCGGCCTGCGGTTTTCCCTGAATCCCTTCATAAATGTTCTTTGCTCACACTCCAACAGCACGTCAAGTATTAAAAAACCCTTTGTCTCCATTCACTCCTATCAAACACGCTCACGCATGCCTGCTGGGGAAATCCAAGCCCCTCGCACACAAAACCTCCTTTACCCCTCCCTCCAACCCTTCCTAGGCCGACCCCTACCCCCCCTTCCTTCCACTACAGACTTTATACACTCTTGAAGTCTTCTGTTTCGCTCCATTCTCTCTACATGTCCGAACCACCTCAACAACCCCTTCCCTCAGCCCTCTGGACAACAGTTTTTGGGAATCCCGCACCCCTCCTAACTTCCAAACTACGAATTCTCTGCATTATATTCACACCACACATTGCCCTCAGACATGACATCTCCACTGCCTCCAGCCTTCTCCTCGCTGCAACATTCATCACCCACGCTTCACACCCATATAAGAGCGTTGGTAAAACTATACTCTCATACATTCCCCTCTTTGCCTCCAAGGACAAAGTTCTTTGTCTCCACAGACTCCTAAGTGCACCACTCACTCTTTTTCCCTCATCAATTCTATGATTCACCTCATCTTTCATAGACCCATCTGCTGACACGTCCACTCCCAAATATCTGAATACGTTCACCTCCTCCATACTCTCTCCCTCCAATCTGATATTCAATCTTTCATCACCTAATCTTTTTGTTATCCTCATAACCTTACTCTTTCCTGTATTCACCTTTAATTTTCTTCTTTTGCACACCCTACCAAATTCATCCACCAATCTCTGCAACTTCTCTTCAGAATCTCCCAAGAGCACAGTGTCATCAGCAAAGAGCAGCTGTGACAAACTCCACTTTGTGTGTGATTCTTTATCTTTTAACTCCACGCCTCTTGCCAAGACCCTCGCATTTACTTCTCTTACAACCCCATCTATAAATATATTAAACAACCACGGTGACATCACACATCCTTGTCTAAGGCCTACTTTTACTGGGAAAAAATTTCCCTCTTTCCTACATACTCTAACTTGAGCCTCACTATCCTCGTAAAAACTCTTCACTGCTTTCAGTAACCTACCTCCTACACCATACACTTGCAACATCTGCCACATTGCCCCCCTATCCACCCTGTCATACGCCTTTTCCAAATCCATAAATGCCACAAAGAGGTCTTTGTGGCATTTATGGATAAGCATAGTTATTATACATATTGTTATTGCGACCCCTGAATGGGTCACAATGTATATAATGTATATCACCTGTTCATATAATTTTATATTGCTGATATTTGCAATATTAGCCAAATTGTAAATGCATTGCTTTATATTATTATTTGACTTAGCTATATTATTAGGTAGAATAGGATATAACATTTACACACTATTCAGTGCTCATTGCTTGAGTGTGTTGAGTAGCTGCCCGCATTGGCAAACTACCTTGATAACTACCTCCTCGCTTGTTTCCCTGCTGGCTTCTCTGTAGTTGCTGGGCAGGAGCAGTCCACAGAGTATTACGTGACCAGGGTGGAGTGATCATACCTCACCTGGTTGAGGAAACTGCTGAGGGCGCTCTCTCTCTCTTTGGTTGGCGCTGGTTCCAACAACACCTCCCTCTCCAGCTCTCCCTTGCTGGCCCTTGTTGGAACTTCATCTCTGTCACTCTCTCTTGTTGTAAGTTCTGTGCAACTCTGTTCACAGAACATAGCCTAGACTTAGTGATTTTCGACGTTTTACTGAGGCTGTGTTTCACACTGAAACTCTGAGAAGCTCAGTTCCTGAGCTGTAGCTTCTGACCTAATTTGTACTGGTATCTGTGCACCATCACAGTTGGAGATTTTCTTATGCTGAACTTAGATTCAGTAGTATGGGAGTTTTGTGACTTTTATGAAGGATCTGCAGATGGTCCCCACTTAGGGCTGCTATGTTATCTCCTTGTTCCTGATTATGCATTGCTGCTGCTTGTTATATTGCTATTTGGCGAATCGGTTGTCTTACTGTTCAAGCAAGCTGTGCTGATTGCCAGGCTGGTCAAAAAGTTAGTTTACATGAGGACTTTTAGTCAGTCACTGGTTAAGTTGAGTCAAGTCTTGAGACATAGCGAACTATTTAGAGCACTTACACACATACTCTTTTTTTATTTATTTATTTTTTCAACAAGTCGGCAGTCTCCCACCAAGGCAGGGTGAACCAAAAAGAAAAAATCCCCAAAAAGAAAATACTTTCATCATCATTCAACACTTTCACCTCACTCACACATAATCAGTGTTTTTGCAGAGGTGCTCAAAACACAACAGTTTAGAAGCATATACGTATAAAGATACACAACATATCCCTCCAAACTGCTAATATCCCAAAACCCCTCCTTTAGAGTGCAGGCATTGTACTTCCCATTTCCAGGACTCAAGTCCGGCTATATAAAAATAACCGGTTTCCCTGAATCCCTTCACTAAATATTACCCTGCTCACACTCCAACAGATCTTCAGGTCCCAAATACCATTCGTCTCCATTCACTCCTATCGAACACGCTCATGCACGCCTGCTGGAAGTCCAAGCCCTTCACCCACAAAACCTCCCTCACCCATTCCTTCCAACCTTTTCGAGGATGACCCCTACCCCACCTTACTTCTACAGATTTAAATGCTCTATATGTCATTCTACTTTGATCCATTCTCTCTAAATGACCAAACCACTTCAACAACCCCTCTTCAGCCCTCTGACCAATACTTTTATTAACTCCACACCTTCTAATTTCCACACTCTGAATTTTCTGCATAATATTTACACCACACATTGCCCTTAGATAGGACATCTCCACTGCCTCCAACTGCCTCCTTGCTGCTGCATTCACAACCCAAGCTTCACACCCATATAAGAGTGTTGGTACTACTATACTTTCATACATTCCCTTCTTTGCCTCCATAAATAGCATTTTTTGACTTCACATATACCTCAACACACCACTCACCTTTTTTCCCTCATCAATTCTATGATTAACCTCATCCTTCATAAATCCATCCGCCGACACGTCAACTCCCAAGTATCTGAAAACATTCACTTCTTCCATATTCCTCCCCAGTTTGATATCCAATTTTACTTTATCTAAATCATTTGATACCCTCATCACCTTACTCTTTTCTATGTTCACTTTCAACTTTCTACCTTTACACACACTCCCAAATTCATCCACTAACCTTGGCAATTTTTCTTTAGAATCTCCCATAAGCACAGTATCATCAGCAAAAAGTAACTGTGTCAATTCCCATTTTGTATTTGATTCCCCATAATTTAATCCCACCCCTCTCCCGAACACCCTAGCATTTACTTCTTTTACAACCCCATCTATAAATATATTAAACAACCATGGTGACATTACACATCCCTGTCTAAGACCTACTTTTACCGGGAAGTAGTCTCCCTCTCTTCTACACACCCTAACCTGAGCCTCACTATCCTCATAAAAGCTCTTTACAGCATTTAGTAACTTACCACCTATTCCATATACTTGCAACATCTGCCACATTGCTCCCCTATCCACTATCATATGCCTTTTCTAAATCCATAAATGCAATAAAAACTTCCCTACCTTTATCTAAATACTGTTCACATATATGCTTCAATGTAAACACTTGATCTACACATCCCCTACCCACTCTGAAACCTCCTTGCTCATCCACAATCCTACATTATGTCTTGCCTCTAATTCTTTCAATAATAACCCTACCGTACGCTTTTCCTGGTATACTCAATAAACTTATTCCTCTATAATTTTTACAATCTCCTTTGTCCCCCTTCCCTTTATATATATAAAGTGACTATACATGCTCTCTGCCAATCCCTAGGTACCTTCCCCTCTTTCATACATTTATTAAACAAAAGTACCAACCACTCCAACACTATATCCCCCCCTGCTTTTAACATTTCTGTCATGATCCCATCAGTTCCAGCTGCTTTACCCCTTTTCATTCTACGTAATGCCTCACGTACCTCCCCCACACTTACATTCTGCTCTTCTTCACTCCTAAAAGATGGTATACCTCCCTGGCCAGTGCATGAAATTACCGTCTCCCTTTCTTCCTCAACATTTAAAAGTTCCTCAAAATATTCTCGCCATCTACCTAATACCTCCCTCTCCCCATCTACTAACTCCCCTACTCTGTTTTTAACTGACAAATCCATATGTTCCCTAGGTTTTTTTTTTTAACTTTTTTAACTCGCTCCAAAATTTTTTCTTATTTTCATTAAAATTTCTTGACAGTGCCTCTCCCACTCTTTCATCTGCTCTCCTTTTGCACTCTCTCACCACTCTCTTCACCCTTTTCTTTTACTCTCCATAAAACTCTGCTCTTCTTATAACACTTCTTGCTTTGTAAAAACCTCTCATAAGCTAACTTTCTCTCTTTTATCACACCCTTTACTTCTTCATTCCACCAATCACTCCTCTTTCCTCCTGCCCCCACCCTCCCTATAACCAAAAATTTTTTCTGCCCCACATTCTAATACTGCTTTTTTAAAACTCATCCAACCCTTTTCAACCCCCCCACTACTCCATTTTTGCACTAGCCCACCTTTCTGCCAATAGTCGCTTATATCTCACCCGAACTCCTCCTCCCTTAATTTATACACTTTCACTTCCCTCCTACTTGTTGTTGCCACCTTCCTCTTATCCCATCTACCTCTTACTCTAACTGTAGCTACAACTAAATAATGATCCGATAAAATCAGTTGCTCCCTCTATGAACATGTACATCCTGGAGCCTACCCATCAACCTTTTATCCACGAATACATAATCTAACAAACTACTTTCATTACGTGCTACATCATACCTTGTATATTTATCCTCTTTTTCATAAAATTTTATTACTTATTACCAAATCTTTTTCTACACATAGCTCAATTAAAGGCTCCCAATTTTTTCACTTACCCCTGGCACCCCAAATTTTTACCTACTACTACCCCCTCCACAACATTTTTACCCACTTTAGCATTGAAATCCCCAACCACAAGTACTCTCACACTTGGTTCAAAACTCCCCACGCATCACTCAACATTTCCCAAAATCTCTCTCTCTCCTCTACACTTCTCTCTTCTCCAGGTGCATATACCTTACTATAACCCATTTTTTCACATCCAACCTTTATTTTACTCCACATAATCCTTGAATTAATACTTTATAGTCCCCTTTTCCCTGCCATATCTTATCCTTCAACATTATTGCTACTCCTTTTTTAGCTCTAACTCATTTGAAACCCCTGACCTAATCCCATTTATTCCTCTCCACTGAAACTCTCCCACCCCCTTCACTTTGTTTCACTTAAAGCCAGGACATCCAGCTTCTTCTCATTCATAACATCCACAATCATCTCTTTCTTATCATTTGCACAACATCCATGCACATTCAACTTCCCACTTTGACAATTTTCTTCTTCTTATTCTTTTTAAATAATCCCTTTTTAGGGAAAAAGGGGTTACTAGCCCATTGTTCCCGGCATTTTAGTTGACTTTTACAACACGCAAAGGCTTTACGGAGGAAAGATTCTTATTCCACTTCCCCATGGATATAAAAGGAAAATAATAAGACCAAGAACTATTAAGATAAAATCAAAGAAAACTCAGATGAGTGTGTATAAATAAACGGTACATGTATGTGTAGTGTGACCTAAGTGTAAGTACAAGTAGCAAGACGTACCTGTAATCTTGCATATTTATGAGAGAGACAAAAAAACACCAGCAATCCTACCATCATGTAAAACAATTACAGGCTTTTGTTTTACATTCACTTGGCAGGACGGTAGTACCTCCCTGGGTGGTTGCTGTCTACCAACCTACTACCTATAACACATACTCACTTGTGTATATTAGCATTATGTTCTTAAATGCTGACAATGTACCAGATGGTACTTAAAAGCCATAAAGATATGATATGTGCCTTCAGCTCAATAATACTGTATATGAGAGAAGTGTAGGAACTTGTATCCTATATTATATTAAATTGATTACTTTGATTTACTTTGATATTATCCACCTAGACAACTTTATCTTTATTAATAAAGTTCTTAAATTTTAATTTCTTTAGTTAGTAGCCTACCAGTTGTAATCCTGAAGCACTACTGAATCTTACTATTAAATTCTAATGGATAATTGGACCAGGGTACTGACTACTTGTTATAAAAACCCAGTAATAGTCTGAATGCTAGAGGGGCAGTCCTTTCTAGTATTCACTAGAGATCTCTATGCTTATTAGATATTGCATTTTTTGTAAGTGTAAATTACCTAGGACAATCCAAAAATTCTAGGCAAAGATAGACAGATGGACAGATAGAGAAATATGTTGGTGTGTATCAGTGAAAACAAGTAAAGCCAGGGTTCCCCTGAGCACCCATTTATCAAATGTTACTGGGCTGTCAACAGATGTCATAACACCATTCTTCAAGGAGTTTGATATACATATACTCCAGGAAGACAGAAAGACATAAGCAAAGACAGACAGATAGATAGACAGACATGTCTGTGTGTAACAGTGATAAATACAGCGAGGGTTAGCTAAATACACGAGTGAGTGTGGGTGGGTGCGAGTTGGACTTGACTAGCTTGTGCTACTAGGTCTGATGTTGTGTTTCTTCTTCAGTGGATGTGACCTGACTAGGTGGGTCATTGGTCTAAGCTGGGGGGGAGGACATGGACCTGCC